TGACATAATTAGTTAAAATTGCAATTGTTTCAATTAGATTTCTCAAGCTTTTAACGTGTCATCACTGAAGCATGCATATCTATCGCAATTAACCAGTTTATATAAGTTGTTTGACCTTATTTTCGCAACTTGGTCATATTGGCAGGAAGACTTAGAGGAGCGCACCTAGTCCGGGGTCATTGTATGAACATTCTTAACACAAGGGTGAAGGGGGTGATAACGACAGTGTGGAGTGTGAAGAGTTTTCATGAATGACGCTCAAAGGAGCACACGACACTACATCGAAATAAGCATGGTAAAGATTGTAACACTAAAGGTGTGATAGGAGGATATAGGAACTGTGAATGGCCCAGGGCAGAAGAGGATATACCACAACTGTTGAGCACACGTTTGGTCAAAGGATCGGCTTCACTTGTCTCTTTGACGAGCTGTTGTTTGGTGCTAAGAATGGCGAAACTCACTGACGATGCCGGCGAAACGTCTGGGAATGTACCACATCCACCGTCCGACTTTGGAAATGATCATGCATACAATGGACTCCGGACTAGGTGTGTTCCTCTAAGTCTTCCTACCAATATGGCCAAGTTGTGAAAACAAGGTCAAACAACTTCTATACAAGGAAAGGAGACTGCGACCACACATAAGGCCACACCATCATGGTCTTCATACCTTCTATTAACCAGTTTATAGCTTAATCTGTTGATACAGCGTTTTCATATCAACTCAGCTCATTTCGATGGGAGTGGCCAACGAATACAGGCATTCAAAGATTTTCTTTTCTGTATGAGTGGAAAGTTGATCAAGCCTGTTAGAGAAAATGAGAACGATAGAACTTATCTATCAACCACAGACGAAGGGAATCTTATAATTTCCTGTAGCTTGGCCTACCTTTTCCTGTGCATGATTCCAGTGAACTTACTAGCCTCTCTCTTAAATAGAGGCGAAAAGAGGCACAATGCATTTCGGGGCTTCCTATCAGTTAATATAGTCCTTTTGGCGGATAAAATCTTGAAATGATCAACTCAGGGCCTGTAATGACCTGAATAGCATAGCCCCAAGACGTTTCATTTTTCTTAAAGTATTCAAGTAAAATAGTTTCTACTACAAAAGCATCCATGATAGCTCGAATGGTGAGCCAATTACTAATTTGTTTCAATCAAGTTCACTTTTTTCTTAAATTTTATCAGCTTTTTGGTCGGTCAGGACGGCCAGATTTACATGCGACGTTCCCGACTTGATCGAGAGACCTTTCCTCGTTACGAGCTGATCGTGCGAGCCGTGGATCAGGGCGGCAAACAGCTGTCGGCTACCACACGTGTCGTGATCCACATCCTGGACGTCAACGACTGTGCGCCACGGTTCATCTTTCCAACTCGACAAAACAACACCGTGCATGTGAGGCGGGGGAGCCCGTAAGTTAAGAATGTTGTTGGGGCCAGAATTTTTGTCACAGTGTAGCTAGTAAGACCTTGATCCTTGATCTCCGCAAGTTGATCTGTTTTGTACTCTTTTGAGCATCAAGAACAACTGCTCAAACCGACTAATCTTGGTACTTAAGAAGCGTTCATTATATTTCATTTAGTGTGATAAGGGGATTGGTAATTGAATTTTCCCACAATGAAATGAGTAGAT